GGCTCAAGAGGGAGGGGATATGGGGATATATGTATACATATAGCTGATTCGCTTTGTTGTACAGCAGAAACTAACACACCATTGTAAATTGCAATTACACTCCAATAAAGATTAAAAAAATAAAATAAAAAGTAAAAAAATTTAAAAACTCTTCAAACTCAACAGTACAAAAGCCTAATTAAAAATGGGCAAAAGCCTTGAAGAGACATTTCAATGAAAAGGATCTATTGATGGCAAATAAGCATACAAAAGGTGTTCAACATCATTAGCCATTCGGGAAATGGAAATTAAAATCAGGAGCAATCACTACACACCTATCAGAATGGCTAAAATAAAAAAGTGACAACACCAAATGCGGGTGAGCATGCAGAGAACCTGGATCACAAGCATTGCTGATATAAATGTAAAATGTACAGCCACTCTAGAAAACAGCTTGGCAGTTTCTTGAAAAATTAAACGTGCAACTGCCATATAACTGCTGTTTAATTTTCTTGAAAAGTTAAGCAGCAATTATACACACAGGCATTTATGCCAAAGAAATAAAAAAGGTACGTTCACACAAAAACCTGTGCACAAACGTTTATACGTAGCAGCTTTGTTTGCAACAGCCAAAAACTGGAAACTCAGACATTCTTCAATGGGTGAATTATTTTTAAGTACGGTACATCCATACCATAGAATACTAGTTAGCAACAAAAAGAACAAACCCTGATACACACAACAACCTGGATCAATCTCCAGAGAATTATGTGGAATGATAAAAGCCAATCCCAGGGACTTCCCTAGTGGTCCAGTGGTTAAGAATCCACCTTCCAACGCACGGGACACAGGTTCAATCCCTGGCTGGGGAACTAAGATCCCACATGCTGCAGGGCGACTAAGCCCACACGCCAGAACTAATAAGCCACACGCCATAACTAATAAGCCCATGCGCCACACCTAGAGAGCCCACATATCTCAACTACTGAGCTTGCGAGCCAAAACTAGAGAGAAGCCTACGTGCCGCAAAGAAGAGCCCGCACAATGCAACAAAGATCCTGCATGCCGTAACTAAGACCTGACGCAGCCAAATAAATAAATAATAAATAACTAAATATTATTTTAAAAAGCCAATCCCAAAAAGCTACATAGGCTGTGAGTCCATTTATATAACACTCCTGAAATGACAATATTATAAAAATGGAGAACAGATTAGTGGTGGCGAGCGGTTAAGCGGAGTTGGGGGTGGGAGGGGAGCGGGTGTGGCCATTAAGAGGGCAACATAAGGGGGTCGTGTTGATGGAAACGCCCAGCATCTCGCCTGTACCAACATCAACACCCTGACTGTGATACTACAGTCCAGTCTGGCAAGACGTTACAACGGAGGTAAATGGACAGAGGGCACAGGGGACCCCTCACTATGGTTTCCTACCACTGCTTACGAAGCTACAATCATCTCAAAATGAAAGTTTAGTTAAAGAAGACTGATCAGTACTAACATGTCAGAAGAATGAAAATCTCCTAGCAGAGACACGGCGGGGAGGGTGTAGATACTGACTGGGAAGGGGCTCATGGCTTTACATAAGCACAAATCCATCAAGCCGTACATTTAAGATTAGTACAATTTACACACGTGATTATATGCTATGCTCAGTGAAAAATTATTTTAAGTTGCCTTTTGGTTATTAATCTTGTTCACTGTAACCCTGATATGATTATATATAAAAAAATTTTTTAACTGTCTGTACATTTATCAACAATGAAACCATGGGCAGCTTTCAGCAGAAGCTGTTTAGGTGGGGTGGTGAAGCCATATGAGACCAGGCTAAGGAATGAGCAGGAAATGAGCAAACACAAAGAAGCAAATACGTGCAACTCTTTCCAGAAGTTGCCAGTAAAGAGTGATAAGGTGATACTCGGAAGGGAAGGTATTGCTGAAGAGCTTTACTAAAATAGGAAAACATGAGCAAATGTACATCCTAAAGGAAAAAACTTGGTAAATAATGAGTCTAAAGCCATCGAGCACAACGCTACACAATGTTTAGCAAAAGGTTTGTGAAAGAGGGCAAAGCAAATATGAAGAGACCACTCACTGATAGAAGATGCCACGCCTGCACTGCCTGTACTGGGGGGAGATCACTGATGACACTGGTGCACCTGTAGGTTTCATGGTGGGAATAACTGTAACAGAAACGACGACGACAACCGTAATGACAGCTCTGTGGTGCCGAATGTGTACTGCGATAGCCAGCCCCGAGGTGACCCTTAATGTCCCGTAGCCTGACATTCACACTCTGTGCTGTAACCTCCACACAGAGCAGGGCTGAGCTGTGTGATCGCTAAAACATGACGGGGCGCAACTTCCAACATCGGGGCATAAAAGACAATGCAGCTTCCACCCTGTTCCCTCTTGGATGGCTCTGTCTAGGGGAAAGCTAGTCACAACATTCAAGCATCTGCAAAGAGGCCCAAACAGCACCACGTGAGTGACCATCCTAGAGGCAGCTGCTCCGGCCCGGCCAAGACTTCATAAGACGCCAACCCCGTGAGAGACCCTAAGCCTTTAAAACCACCAACTAAGCTGCTTCTGAATGACTGACCCACAGAAACTGTGACATAACAAATGTTTACTGTTTTAAGCCAGGAGATCTGGGAGTAATTTATTAAGCAGCAGTAGATACCTACTCTACTTGCTTAAGTGCCAGGCAGAGTTGTAAGCATGCTAGGTATACAGAAACCCACTTGTGATCCCCATGTCAAGAGGAGGAAACTGAGACACACAGAAGTTAAGTAATTGGCCCCAATTATCACTCAGCTGGTAAGTGATATGGACCTGGATTCAAATCTAAGGACAGCTTGATTAACTGCTGTGCATACGTCCTCCCCAGGCAGAAGCGGTTCCCACCCCCCAGTTTTCACTTCTGCCGTGAAACAGAAGGCAAGACTAGCTGCTAAGACAGCAGAGGGAAAAGCAGGTGAATCAGAGAACTGAATAAAATGGAAAAGCTTTGAAACAGCTGCCACGAAGAGCTAGGACGAGGTCTGGCTAGAGAAGTCGAACAGGATTTCCAAACAGTCCAGGAGAGGTTAGGAGCCATGACCTTCCACGTAGTGAATTTAAGATGAACACAATGAAGAGAACACAGGGCTGCGAGTGGGCCTACACATAAAGCGTAATTTCAGGTGTGAAACAGTGGTGATGGCCAGATGGAAGAGAAAACACATGTCTTTCCCAAGTCCAACTAATACATAAGGAGCCACATGCAGAAAAATTCCAGGACACACGAAAGAAATATTCTACATCAAAGTATCACGTAAGGACTGAAGAAAAGACTAAGACGAATGATGATAAACTGACAGTAACTGCCTTGATGTCAAGCATCAGAAGTTTTTCTAGAGAACCTTCCCTTTTTCCTATCTCCATTCAAAATGTCAGAAGAAAAATTAAAACCTATAAAAGAAAAAGAACATACTAGTTCCATCACAATCAGACACACCTTAAGAGCAGCCTCACTGACTTAATTTGATGAATAAATCTTACAACAGAGCTTTAGGCCCAAAACTTATCAAATTTACTAATAATTAAACTTTTCTAAACACATTCAAGTTTCAGTTTCACGCATGTGCTTTTAAAATTACTTCACTTTACTTGACAAACTGACACAAAGTAATCTCAAAATAAAAGTTAGGTAAGGGGTGGGGGGAATATCAAACCATAGATGCAAAATTTTTTCAAGGCTAATATTCAATGCAAGACACTTAAGACACAAAAGTGCGTGAACAGAGGTAAAGGTTTGTGCATTCTCTCTCTTGATATATATATATATATATATATATATATATATATATATATATTTAATATTCAAGGTTAATAAACAAGTATCAAAGAATAAGAGTTAGTATTAGTAGTTAATATTCCTGTGACATTTTTCCTCTTATATCCATTATTACCTGAAGACTTAGTGAAAACAAACCAAAATGAGTGCAGCCAGAAAACCTACTTTTTCCAGTAAAAGAAATATCATCCCTGGATAAACTAAGTAAATCCTTTCCACGTAATGGGTAATCAATAGAGAGGGGGAAAAAAGTGTCCATACTTCTGGCAGTTCTAGTCCTATAAAGGAACAAGAAGAATTAGAGAAACCCTAAAGTGAACATCCATCATCCCACAAGTTATTTCACATATTCTGTCTCTCTCAGTTGGGATAACCCCATGTACTCTGAAAACATAAGGCAAAACAAACAATTCTTAAGTCTTACAAAGATTTTAATTAAAATAAAACCTATAATTAAGAATGGATTGGGCTTCCCTGGTGGCGCAGTGGTTGGGAGTCCGCCTGCCGATGCAGGGGACACGGGTTCGTGCCCCGGTCCGGGAGACTAGTTCTTTCGAACCTTTTTCCCATTTGCAGTAACTTTTGTTACATTTAATAATCCATATTTCTCTTGACCCTTTGGACTGCTGGCTGTATCTTGGTTCTTTGGTGAAGAGGGAGAAGACTCATTTTCAGAGTAGCAGGGTTTTGAGGCAGTTGGAGATTCCTTGTCATTGGTGTCCAACACAATGGTGCTATGTCTCCACTTTGTTAACACTATTGGTTCTTGCAGCCGCCTGTCCAGACCCCTACTTTTAATAATTTCTCTTTGCTGCTGAGATGAGGCATTATACTTTGGCAACTCCCATTCTGACCGAGATCCGTCTGCACTGTAGTAATATTGTCTACCTTGATCATCAACATGCTTGAGCCACTCTTGATCTCCTGGACTTTGGGAATCTCCTTTGCTTATGTTTGTATCTCAAGTCCAACGAGGGGGTTTCTGAGTTCTTTCCTGTGTTCCTCTGTTATAGTGATAACAGTGCCCTGAACTATCTTTATGAGGTTCCCATTCTCCATTAATCTGAATTGCTAGGCTTCCGGGCATCGGGGGGGCGGGGGGAGAGAGACGACTGGGATATTTTCAGTTCTTGCAGGTTAGCGTAGACAGGAGAATCTGGCCGCCCTTGATTTGGAGGGATTGTCCTTATCTGCTCAGTGGAGCTGCTGCTAAGCTTATCACCGGACTCTGAATCTTGATATGTCCGTTCCGAGCCTTCTGCTGAATCACAAGACTGTTCCTGGGAGAAGCCAGCTTTCTCGACGTCCAAGAACTCCGGACCAGGAAAGTGACCAAATAACCGTGTCCTATTCTGGCCAGAAACTTTGGGAGAATGTGAGTCACTGTTGAACTTTCCATTATTATGGGTCAGGTCCAGGCTGAGGTTGACAGTCTGACCTGGAATATGACTGGGTCCAAAATTCTGATTGGCATCACGAATAAGACCTGTTCCTTGAACAGACGGCGATGGCTTTCCAAAACTTGAAAGCTCGGGCAATTTGTTCACATTTTCTGTTGACCTCTGAAGGTGGAGACTCTGCATCGTTTTCAGAGAATGATTCGGCAGCCCTGCTGCCTGTTTCACAGGCGGCATCAGGGCTCTGCGGCCGACCTCCCTCACATACTGGGCAGGCACATAAAACGCTTTGGAGTTCTCATCCAGCTTCACCTGCCACCAGTCATCGTTGGTCTTCTTCACCAGGATATATCGCTCCCCTTGTTTTATCACGACCTTTCTGTCCTTCGCTTCGTATTCGTAATCATATTCCACTTCAATATACACCTGCCCTGGAACAATCTTCCCACCTCTGTCAGCCATTTTCATTCCGTAATATTCACCTCTCAAAAAGGATGCTTTGCCACATTATGGCTCTGTGGCTTGTTGGATCGATACAGCTATTTTTATTTAAATAAAGGAAGAGAATGAAGAAAAAAGTTAACATAGTCTGGATTTTTAATATTCATTCACAAGCATCATAGAATAAAGAATATTACCTTCAAATCTCAAACCCAGAAATTAAACATGTGTCTAATATTGTATGTATGGTCCTGCATTACAAACGCTCTCATTCTAACTGTAATCTACATTTTTCAGTCGATTATGACCAAAACTGAACCAATGACTGGAATGGTAAATACGCTAACCAACCAGACGTACAACTATCAAAAATAGGAGGTGAGAAGAATTTTTCTTCCTTTCATGACTACCTCAAACCTTCACTTTCTTAGAAAGGCTCACTAACAATAACATACATATTAGGCACTTACCAAGGCCAGGCATTGCTCTAGGTTCACTGTATGCCTTATCAAAAACCCTCTTGAAAGCTGAGGCTGAATTTCAATGACCCTGAACTTCATTCACTGACCCTGTATTCTTTATTTTCTAAAATGATCAAGTGCATTAGTGAGCTTTAAAAAAAGTTATCCAAATATATGTTTCATTTTCTAATATAAACTGATTAAAAAGCAGCATTGCTATTTTTAGGCAAAATACAAACAGAGAAAAGAATCTGCTAGTTTACTTTTGTTTCCTCTTACATCCACCCCAGGACGACCACATTCTTGTTAAGCTGAATCCCACAAATCCCAGCAAATAACCAGTCTTTTTATTTTTAAGTTTTACACACACACACACACACACACACACACACACACACACCATGGAAAGTCTACTAGAAATATCCCTAAAATGGCTTGAGAAACCTAGGATTCACTTTTACAATTCCAAATATTTTAGTACCTCATAAAACACAGCATTCAAGCTTCAGAATGATCACAGCATCTCGATTTTGCTACAATTCAAGTCGAGCCCCAAATACTGTGGGATGAATTGTGTTCCCCAAAAAGGTATGTCTAAGTCCTAACACAGGACCTGTGAATGTGACCATACTTGGAACTAGGGTCTTGGCAGATGCAATCAATTTGAGATGAGTTCACATTGATTAGGGTGGGCCCCAAATCCTTGGAGACAAGGAGAGGAGACATGGAGGGAATAAGACCACGTGCAGACAGAGGCAGAAATGGGGAGTGAAGCAGCTACAAGTCAAGGAATGCCAGCAACCGCCAGAAACTGGAGTGGGCAAGGAAGGATTCTCCCCTAGAGCCTTCAGAGGGAGCACAGAGGACCTCTGGCTCCAGAACAGTGAGAGAATAAGTTTCTGTAGTTTTTAGGTCACCCAGTTGGTAGCACTTTGTTACAGCAGCCCTAGGAAAACACACTCAACCCAGCACTCCAGGATCCTCAGGCAAACCAGAGTAACTCTACTAGTGAGATGTACCAGAAATGTTCCTACAAGGTCGCGTAGCCTCCCAATTTTCCTCAGCACCTAAGTACCGGGCATGACACTATTTACACTATATGTGCAGTAACCACCATGCCCCTGGGGGCAACATCCTCTGAAACAGACAAAGCCCAGGTGATAACTAGTTAGGCATACAATTTCAGCAACTAAAATTTACTTTCTAGACAAACTACTTGAATAATAAATTTAATATAGTAATGTTGTTTCAAAAAAATAATAAAAATAAAAAACTTACCTTAGAAGGAGAACTAAACAGCCAGTCTTACATTTAAACCTATAGGAAAAAAAAAAAAACAATAATAAAGTTCATTAACTTTAACCGGGATTGCTTAAAGAAGGCTAAGAACGCAATGTTGCTCGCGGTTTTAGAAGCATAACTTTTTTACAACAGCTATAAGGCACACAGTACAATTTTACATATCACGACTGCATCCAGCAACGCCCTCCAAACAAAGCACACTTTACCACTGCCCCTCCTACTGCATTTCCACTTCGTTTCAACTTCATTTTCGCCCTTAGTTTTTATCCTGACAGAAATATCTTTTCAAACTTCTAATAACATGAGAAACAACTTTTGTAAAATCGTTAGTAAAAAACAAACCCAGAATGTGAGACATTCTATGAGAAACACACCTGAACTCTTCAAAAACTCAATTTCATGAAAAATGAAAGAGAGAGAAAGATTCTTCTAGATTAAAGGCGACTGCTGACACACAACAACCAAATCCACTCAGTGTCCTAACAGGTACCTAAAACTTAACCATATCCAAAATCTACCCCGACCCTGCCCAATCTGCCTGGTCTTTCCTGACACAGTTAATAGAAATTCTAAGCTTCAAAGCAATCAGCCTTTATTTTCACGCATTACCAGGGCATTAGTCACTATGAACCTTAATCCTTTTACCTACATAAAAGGTTTTCACTACAACTTTTCAAAATTCCACATTGAAATACTTATCCTCAGGTGATGTTTTTTTCTTTTACTTTCCAGGAAGTAATAAAATAACTTACGAAACACCTTTGAAGATACTGAAACAAGTCAGGGAATACACAGAAGGCTACAGGAGCTCAGGTGTACCAGAACTGCTCAGACACTGATCCGTGGGCGTGGACCAAAGAGAAGTATGAAGAGTAAGGAGTAAACTGCATGGTTTCCTGGTAGCAGGGGAGGGGCCGTGGGGTGGAGTGCAGCACAGGTTAGTGGCGTCCATGCCCCGTCCACGCCCCTGCCTCTCACTGCCAGGCTTTACGACCACACCTTCCCCACCGACCGCAGAGGTATGGAGGAAGAGGAACGAGGGAAAACGGGAAGTCTGTTTCACCACGCTCAACATGGGACACCCAAACTAAAGTTCTCAGTACTGTAAAGGAAATGAGAAGTGGGAGGACAAGAAAGACGGAGAAGCAGTCGAAAGACATCCAGATAGAACAGGTAGATGATACAAGGCAGATGACATGAGCAAGAGTGAGCACAGGGGTAATAGGACCTGAGACCAGGTTTCTAGTTAATACAGGGATGGGGGCGGCAAACAAACTGGGAAGCCCGAGACGACTGAAATAATAAACGTCTAGAAAGTCACGTAGCAGGAATTATGTATCACAATCCAAGGTCTAGGAAAAGTTAGATAAAATAAATATGAAGAGAAAAGCCCTATTATAAACTACAGATTCAAATAAAATTAAAATAATTGTGGGGCAGCTCTAAAAACTTGGATCTAAGGGATATTTATCTGCATATATGTGAATAACATCTGCTGCCTATTTTTATTTAAAAACATAAGCTGCATTAAAACAAATGTTTGTGGGTTTAATTTTGGTTTGTTTCTTCGTCTATTCCCCAAACTGTAGATTCTTTTTTTTTTTTAAGTTTTTTATTGAAGTATAGTTGTCTTACAATATCATGTAAGTTTCAGGTATACAGCATAGTGATTCAGATATATATATATATATATATACATTCTTTTTCAGATTCTTTTCCCTTATAGGTTATTACATAATATTGAATATAGCTCCCTGTACTATACAATAGGTCCTTGTTGATTATCTTTTTTTTATTAAGAGTGATCATCTCTTTTATTTTTAATTTTTATTTTATTTTGTTTATTTACTTTTTGGCTGTGTTGGGTCTTCCATTGCTGCACACGGGCTTTCTCTAGTTGCGGTGAGTGGGTGCTACTCTTTGTTGCAGTGTGCGGGCTTCTCAGTGGTGGCTTCTCTTGCTGCGGAGCACGGGCTCTAGGCGCAAGGGCTCAGTAGTTGTGGCACGCGGGCTCAGCAATCGTGGCTCGCGGGCTCTAGAATGCGGGCTCAGTAGTTGTGGCACACAAGCTTAGCTGCTCCACAGCATGTGGGATCTTTCCAGACCAGGGCTTGAACCGTGTCCCCTGCATTGGCAGGCGGATTCCTAACCAGTGCGCCACCAGAGAATTCCCTTGATTTTCTATTTTATACAGACTAGTGTGTGTATGTTAATCCCAAACTCCTAATTTATCCCTCCCCCCACTGTGGATTCTTCTCTTTAGATTAGGTTGAGCACTGTTTATCCTGCTATCTTAACCTCTCAAGTATTTCGATTAGAATCTTGTTCAACTACAACGCCCGCTGAGCACAACACTCCTCCAATTGAGATAGATTCTATATTTATCACCACACTCCTCCACCCTTTTTCATCACACACACACACAACTACTAAGTACCCAACCACCAGGATAGAGTTTTTGCACATCTACTATTCGGTAACAACCACTGCTTTTCTTTGAGGCATGAAAAGCCTCTTACCAGTGGTCCTCTTCCTCAAGCTTCAACAAGAACAGACACACCCAGAGACACACAACTTTTTACAACTTTTACTTCTTCCCCACCCCCCCAACCAAAGTCAGATTCATTTCTACCAGGCTATTTTAAAATCCAATGGCCTCCTCCTTTCTGTCTACCAATTTTTCTCATTTTCTTTCCTAGCACAAATTACACAGCCAGCAAATGTTATCTTCCTCCCCCAAGACATCTGCTTTAATCAACTACATCTCACAGCATGAGATCCTTACCAGGTACATCAAAAAGTAAACAAGTAAACAAAGTCTTAAGAGGACTGGGATAATTGTATCCATAATTAATGACCTTACAATTTAAGTCTGATACATACATGTACAACATATTTAGCAATTCTAACACCATGAACAACAAAATGCTAATATAGCCTCACACATATATTAACCCACTTAAAAATACCACAATTTAAGCACCGATTCTTGACATTAAGTCCTCCAGTAGCTTTAAAAGTACTTGTTTAAAATTAACACTCCCTAAACAACCCTCTACTAAAGCAATCAGTTAAACCTAATGAGCACAACAAAAAAGTTAAAAACAACTCCAGCATAAGTTCCACAATAAGAAATTATTCCACCAAATAATTTTGTAGATTGTACACTTAACAAGAAATTACAGGCCATGATAGGGCACCTAAGGTTTTTTTCTTAATGCATGATCCCTGTTTTCTAAGAATAAAAACATAAAGAATATAAGA